CCTGGGGACCACCACTGGTGACCGGCCACTGTCTGGACTTAACTCCATTCACCACGACTCTCTGGGCTTGGCCATCCAGCCAGTTTTTTATCCAGCAAAGGGTGTTCCTGTCTAAGCCATGAGCCACTAGCTTTTCTAGGAGAATGCTGTGGGACATGGTGTTGAAGGCCTTGCTAAAGTCCAAGTAGATGACATCCACGGCCTTTCCCTCATCCACTAGGTGGGTCATCTGGTCATAGAAGGAGATCAGATTGGTCAAGCATGACCTTCCTTTCATGAACCCGTGCTGGCTGGGCTTGATCACCTGGCTGTCCTGTACATGCTGTGTGAGGTGTGTGTTGGGGGTTATTTATTTTTATTGACACATTTATAGACATTTGTAATAAATGACACCTGCATTTGGTTTATCTTAAGCAAAAGGGAAATACAAATTGAAGGGAAAAAATTGAAACTAAAAAGAAGAAGAAATTGCAGAAGTCGTAAGTTGGGGGAATAAAGTACACTTTGTTAAAATAACATTAAAAGTGAGGAAAGTATCACAGAAATAGAGGAATATTATGCAAGAAAAGACACATTCTTAGTTTAAGATAATTGTGTTCGGTTACAGATGAGACGAAGTAAGTCCTGTGGTAGTTTTATAAAGGTTTAGTGTACCAGTGATTGGCCAACACTGGCTTAGAGGAAAAAGTATTTTAGGAAAAATGCTTTCAGTTTTCTAAGTTGACCACTAAACCTTAGACTTTAACTTCTAGGTCCTAGGAGCATTTCACTAGGTCTGTGAGTAGAGATTTATTGTTAAATGTTAAAGAACAAAAGGAGACTGATTTTGTGGAATCGGGAATGACATGTCAGGATTCCTAAAAACATCAAAGGCAACTCTGGTAAATGGTTTTTTAAGAGGTACTTCAGAGCAGTCCTGTCAGGTATGACTTCCGAAAGAATGATCTGAGTACTTTAAGAAGCTTCTGAGCTTAACTGGTTAATTCAATTAAACTTTAAAGTCAAGGTAAATTATTTTGAGTCTTTGTTTTATGGAGTCTTTTCTGCCTCCTGCCTCGAAGTTCTGGTATGAGAGTCCTCTGTTGAAGAAGACTCTGTGACTTTCAGCAGTGTCAAACCACCATTTCCTTATTAGCTCAGAGAAGGCCCATACCCATCCAAAGTACTGCAAGTATGCTGCTTGTACAGACCCATCAGCTCTTGGTGCCTGAGTACAGGGGAGTACTTTGTTGAGTATAAAATGCACTTTGCCTTTCAACTAGATCCCAGCACCCATGCAGAAATAGCTTTCTTTTCACAGAACTTCAGTGCAGAGCAGGTTTAGTCCTCAACTTGTTGAAAGCATTCTGCTTTTACTTTCATATCTTTATGTGTTTCAGAATT